AAAGATGCTTGACATCACTAGTCATCAAAGAAACAAAATCAGAACCACAATGAGATACCATTTTATACCTACTAGGAAATAATAAATATTGATGAAGAAGTGGGGAAATTGGAACCCTCGTATAGTGCTGAACTTTAATGTAAAATGACGTTTGGAAAACAGTCTTACATTTCCTCAGAAGGTTAAATACAGAATTACCACATGACCCTGGATGTCCATTCTTCGGTATCAACCGAAGAGAAATGAAAACATGCCCATACAAAAACTTACAGATAAATGTCTATAATAGCATTATTCTTAATAGTCAAAAGGTGGAAACAACCCACATCTCTACCAGCTGAGGAATGATACTGTGACATATGCATACAATGAGACACTATTTGGCCATGAGAAGGAACGTAGCACTGGTACGTTTGACCATGTAGATGAACCTCAAGACAACATATGGTAAATGAAAGAAGTCACTCACCAAAGACCATGTGTGACACGGCTCCACTCATATGAATGTCTACATAAGGAAATTATAGAGATGGGAATCTACAGAGAGGGAAAGTTTCTTTAGAGCTGTCAGGGAGGTCTGGGGGGTAGTGGAGTGAAGCTAAAGGGTGTGTGGTATCTTTTTTAAGGTGATGAAAATATTCTATAACCAACAGTGGTGATATATCTGAATATACTGAACACTATTGAGTTTCACACATTAAACGGGTGAATTGTGTGATATGTGAATTATATCTCAATAAGGCTGTTTAACAAACAAACAAAAAAGAATGACTGAGACCTGTGATACTTATGTCACTCCTGGAAGCTTGACGGTGGAAGGAAGGGGGGCACTTGCACAGCATGTTAAGAAGAGATATGGTTTACATTTTTTTTTTTTTTTTTTTTTTTTTTTTTTTTTTTTTTTTTGNGGAGTTTAACGTTAGAGGAAGCAGCAAATTACATCAGAGCAGCCAAAGCCACACACAGCTCAGCTCAAGCCCAGCTCATGTCAAAGCTATTGTCAAGTGTCCTATAGTGCAGCTCTTCCACTGTGACAGTCACGGGAGCTCTTCTGGCACATACTTAACATAACGCACTTACAGGAATGTGTATGCTGGTAAAGTTTATTTACATTATGTTCTGTCATGTGAATCACATTTAAATCCTTCAAATTTATATTGACATACAGAACCCAGTAAATTCCTTGGAAATTTTTTTTCCCCAAAAAAACAAAACAGGATACAATTAATATGCTAGTTGGGGAGCTTCATGAACACCTTACTTCACTTTGGGGTCTCCCTTGGGATGTTACAGTGAACTGTATCCAGAGGCTGCCAGTGACAATTCATGAGGGCATCGTAAAGTTTTTCACTTTTCACCATAAACTCTTGGTTTAATTCCTCAATATTCAAATGAAGATTTGGATCTGCAGAAATTAATAATGAATATGAAAAAAATAGAGCTTTATAGGACACGTATTGGAAATGACTTAAAATTAGAAAGTTTTTAAAAAAGCATTAGCAAGAAGTATTGCAGACATTAAAGGTTAAAAATTTTAAATTGTGCGTTTTCTTTCAATGAGATTTGAAAGTAGAAATTTAAGCTATGAGAAGTAGTGTAATACCAGATTGGAACCCTCATATACTGCTGGTGTTGAATGTAAGATGACATTTGGAAAACAGTCTTACATTTCATCAGAAGGTTAAATATAGAATTACCATATGACCCAGGATGTCCATTCTTCGGTATAAACCCAAGAGAAATGAAAACATGCCCATACAAAAACTTACACATACAATGAGACGCTATTTGACCATGAGAAGGAACGTAGTACTGGTACGTTTGACCCTGTAGATGAACCTCAAGACAACGTGTGCCAAATGAAAGAAGTCACTCACCAAAGACCATGCATGACATGGTTCCACTCATATGAATGTCCACATAGGAAATTATAGAGATGGGAATCTACAGAGATGGAAAGTTTCTTTAGAGCTGTCGGGGAGGACTGGCGGGTAGTGGAGTGCAGCTAAAGGGTGTGTGGTGTCTTTTTTAAGGTGATGAAAATATTCTATAACCGACAATGGTGATATATCTGAATATACTGAACACTATTGAATTTCACACATTAAATGGGTGAATTGTGTGGTATGTGAATTATATCTCAATAAAGCTGTTTAATAAACAAACAAAAAAGAGTGATTGAGACCTGTGATACTTATGTCACTCCTGGACGCTTGACGGTGGAAGGAAGGGGGCAGTAGCACAGCATGTTAAGAAGAGAGATGGTTTACATTTTTTTTTTTTGATGGAAGAGCTTGAGAATGTCTCAAGCCAGAAAGGAGGAGTCATGGGAAAGGAAAACTTGAAGTTATTAGAGATACTCGAGAGAGTGGTGATAATTGATATCTCAGAGCAGATGGAAGGTTATGAGCTCCTGGGAGAGGGTGTCATGGCTTTTCCTTGGATCTGGGTGTAAATAGGGTGAGATACTGCGGCAGGGGAGAGAGACGCTGCCAGGCTCGCCTGTGAGGAAGGATTTGCTGCCCCGTGCGGGAGGAGGACTCGGGCCCCTTCTGTCACCCCTGGTCAGGGTCTGGTCCCCGAGGGCCTGCGTCCCGGGGCAGCCAGACCGCTGCAGAAACTCACCAGGGTCATTCTAGAGGGAAATGGGAAACACTGGGGAGAATCAGTTAAAGCTGTAGAAACTAGTAGATTCTTTCAGAAGGCGAGTGTAGCAGGTGAGCAGGGACTGAGAGACCGAGAGCGGGTTTGGGTTGTTTTCATTCGAAGCACAGGCCGTGGGCACCTACTTCAGGCCGGGAAGACACGCGCACGCCGTTCCTATGTCCACCGAGAGCTGGAGCTGCTGCGTGCAGGTCACTCCACGGCCTCTGGTCACAACAGTTTTGGCACTCAGTGATCAGAAAGTTTGCTCAACTGTAATCTTTCAGTCCGAATTGTGTAAACTGAACCAGCTGAGATGCCTATGGTGCTAGTCATTGTTTCTGCTATGAATCATCAGTCCTCTTCAATTAGGGCATAAACAAGATTAATTTTTCCTTGATAATTGATGTGGATAGTCTGCAGCTGCAGGCTTCATCTTCAATGTTGTCTCCTCCCTTCTTTTTTTTTTTTTTCCTTTTTGTCTTTTTTCGTGACCGGCAACAGATCGCAACCCTCAGTGTTGCGCCAGTACCAGACCCGGACCGGCAACGGGATTGCAACCCTCGGTGTTGCGCCCGCACCTCGCTCAGCCAGTGAGCGGCCGGTCTGTATGTGGGATCCGAACCCTCAGCGGGAGCGCCGCTGCGCTCCCAAGCGGCGCACTGTAGCAGTGGGCCACCGGGCCAGCCCGTCTCGTCCCTTTTTAAAATGAGTTATCCATTTATAAACTGATTTCCTTGGGACATTGTCCCCATAAAGTTGTTGTAAAGCATCAATGATTTCACCCAAGCTTCACCACAGATTTGATGTTCTCACTTCAATTTTAATAGAATTCATGTTGCTCTGATAGGAGCTCTTTTCATACTGATGGCTTCTTCTTTATGCCTCAAACTAGATCTTATTCAGACATGCTATAACAGGTCAGTACAAGTTTATTTCAGTGCAAAAAAATTTTGAAACCCATGCATACTTTTTTCATAATACACATTTTCCATGATCTTTCTGAAGATCCCTTGTAAGACCAAATATATAACTTGAGTCTATATTTTTAATTCTCCTAAATGCATCAATGCGATTAATTTCATTTTTACTTACTGTGTGGTATCTACATCTGCATCAGGCTTGGTGCTCAATTGTTCCAGACAGTATATAAAAACCTATGTCAAAAATGTTAAGTTTTAGTGATATGAACTTTTAGATATTAATCTATTTGGACATTAAAAATAATTTTACATAAATTAATGTAAAACTATATATCCCATAAGTGGTGTAGTTGTGGTGGTGGTGGTGGAGTGTGTCTTTGTGTGTGTATTACACATGTGTATCCCATAACTGATAGAAAATACATATACTATCAATATATATAACATAAGTTGTAGAAAATTAAAAGCACCTATGTTTTGATCAATTATTAAATTCTTGAATATATTTAGGAAAAAGACCTTTTTCCTTTCTCTCGTTCACTCACTCACGTGTTCAACTGTATGTGCCTACAAGCACTAGTTCCAATGAAAAAATTTACACTCTAGATATAATGTAAACAACTATCATTTAATTTACTGTGCTTTAATGAAAATATATATAAAGTACCATGAGAACACAAAAAAGAAGAAAATATAAATGAAATATTTGGGTACTGTTAAAACAATTTCGAATTAATCCTACATTAAATTTTATTTTGTTGCCCTACTTACCTTAAACTATTATGTACACAGACAAGATAAAAAAAAGATACATATTTAATATATGAGGGGACTTCACAAAGTTCATAAAAAGGTTCATATTACTTTTTAATTCTATTTTACATGAACTTTTTGAAGTCCCCTGGTATATTACACATATATTATAAATAGGAGGGGGGGGTTGGCAAATAATCTGCATTATTTCAAGCTTTGGGCATCACTGCTCTTAAATATTACCTGCATGATATTGATACTTAGTTGGCAAACCTCCTCCTGTGTTTTAGGCTGTTGAAAGACCTATGAGAAAGAACTTGGATTGAAATATTTTTGACTATGAAGGAAAAACAAAACTTTTTGTTTATGAAGTTAGATATAAAAGTTGAAACATGGAAAACTGCTTCGGGTGTGGGCACCCTCACCCTGAGAGGAACATGAGTAAAGAGCTGGCCTGTCAGGTGGTTCTCTTACCACGGTGATTCTGTGGTCAGAAGACAATGAAGTACGGAACTGGTTGACGATACCCAGGTCAACCATTAGTGCTGTACCTCTATACTCTACCTGCAAGACTTACACTTCCCATGCAGCTTTCATGAGCCTAACTTAAAGCCAGAAGTCAGCAGGCCCACGTACTGTAGCTAAACTAAGTGACACAC